TGGCGGATCTTAGGTCTTGCGCGTGCGGCTGAGTGAAGGAATGGAGGGACAAACGAAGCAGAAAAGCAGGGCACACTGACGAAAGTTATCTGCGGCTCTCAGAGAGAAAAAATGTCCCGACCTGATCCACCTGACAGTGAGCCGCCTCACAAAGGTGGTGGAGACGTCCCTAAACCTCACGAAACTGGAACACAGACGGACAAAGAAATAAATGCCTCGCCGGACAACACCAACCGTCACCCTTCCAAGGCAGCGTACGCAGAGACAAGCCCCCTCTCAGTGTGACTACCGTGTCCTGCAGGCCGTTAAAATTCGTGACCACCACGGACTTCATCTTAGGGCCTGGGTGAAATCCTTCCCTCAGTCTACTGAGTCTACAGTAAAACAAGTCCTTGACTCCTCCCTCTGTCTGAGGGGCTGAGACACTGGTTGGCCACTGGAGGCTGAGTCCTCTAGGGCTCTCGCTCTCTCTCTCTGTCTCTCTCTCTTCCTCCCTCCCTCCCTCCCTCCCCCCTCCCTCCCTCCCTCCCTCCCTCCCTCCCTCCCTCCCTCCCTCCCTCCCTCCCTCTCTCTCTCTCTCTCTAAGGGGCCCAAGGGCGGCCACCTCGCTGCTTAGTGAACATGGGTGACAGCAAATGTTCAGGTCAGAACCCAAATTCATCTTTTTAATGCTTGCAAATCTCACAAAAGTATGTAAGAAAAAACCCTAAACCATGTCTGTGAAAACATCAGTTCCTTTATGCTGCGTGCAAAGTTCGGCCCTTCCCTATCTTGACATCTTCCAATTGCCAAACTCTCAAACCAAGACCAGTGTTGCAGGCCCGACCTGCCTCGCAAAAATAAAAAACCCCGACACAGAAACTCCACTGATCTAGACACTCTGGGATGGCCACACCCTTTTCCTCTAGAGGGCTGGTAAGTAACTATTTTAGAATAAGGTCTTACCAAGAACCAACGGGAGGGTAGAGCAGTGCTCACCGTGGACAGACAACACCCAGACATCAAGAAGAGCCAGGGCAGCTGCCGGAATAGCCCAGTTGGGAGAGCGTTAGACTGAAGAATAAACAGCCAGTGCTCCCCATGCCTCCTCCACAGGCACAAAGTCGCTATCAACGGTTTGGGCAGGGACACCGGTCTCCTCTGCCTTCTGCTACTACGCAGAGGCAAGAAAGCTTGTCAGCTGAGTCCTCTGGCTTCTGAGGCTTTATACTACCTAGACACACGCTGTTCTTGGGTAGCGGTGAGTGGGGCACACCTTTAATCCCAGCACCCGGGAGGCAAAGGCAGGAGGATCTCTGTGAGTCCCTGGTCTATAAAGTGAGTTCCAGGACAGCCAGAGCTGTTACACAGAGAAACCATGTCTTGAAAAAAGACAACAAAGAAAACAACAACCAAAAAACAAGCAAAAAACCAGCTTTCCAGGCCTGCACACTGGAAATCCCAACACTCACAGGAGAGGAAGCAGAAGGCTCTGGTCAAGACCCTATCTGAAAACAAAAGCACCACCACCAACAATGGCTTTCCTAGTTGCCCCTCGCCCTCCCCACCCCCAAATCACTGCTCAGGGAAACCTCAAACGTGTCAGGCCAGAGGAAAAGGAGCTAGCAGTGCCAAGCACAACGGCTCACAGGATAAGCAGGTTTGCAGAAAGCGCTTCAAGGTATATGCACCAGTACTTTCGTAAGCCGAGTAACCACCCAGTTAAAGTAGAGACTTGAAGGGGAATGTCATATGATCATTAAAAATAAGGTGTATGAGAGCTGGGAGAGAGCTGTCAGTCAAGTGCTTTGCTGTGCTGGGGAACCTGAATTTGATCCCCCAGACCCATGTTATAAAGGCAGTGGTTGTGTGTTCTCACAGTCTTAGTGCTGATGAGATGGAGACAGGAACTTAAGCTCCTTACACCCGAGGGATGAGACACGAGCTTGGTCTCTGACAGGCAAGCATGCACACATGTGTGCGCGCACACACACGCGCACGCATGCTCACACGCGAGAGTGCACACACACGAACACATGCCCATACACACAGGCGCACACACGTGCATACACACGCACATACATACACACATGCACATACATGCACACACACATACACACATGCACATACACGCACAAGCACATATATACACATGCACTCATGCACGTACACACACACAAATCCAGGCATAGTTCTTGATGTGTTCCAGGAGAAAGTCCCTTGATCCATGCACTTTCCAACACAGGCAGATGTAGAGAGTTGTGCTCTGACATTCACAGGACAAGTCAGGAAGCACACAGAGCAGATCAGTAACCATGGCAATGCAGCTTGTCCCTCACTCAGCCACTCCAGGGCTGCGGCGCTGCTCAGAACAAGCACTTGGGACCTTGCACACACGAGGCTTCGAACGGGGATCCCGTCCCAGATATGGGGGTGTACTAGCTACATTCCTTATTAACCATGAGTCGTCCCTTCTGAGTGGTTGATTATTTGCTCCTAGGGACTCTTTATACGTAATAGCTAGGTGATGTTACTTCCCTAAATGAACTATGTTCCCGGTAGCTAACATCCCTCCATAGAGTTCACTCAAGTTACAGGCTTAGGGACCCTCATACACACTCAGGGGTTCCTGGTGCTCTACTGATGATCAGCACCCCGACGCTGATCCTGTGTCTGCACACTTTACGGCGCCCCCCCCAATAAACAAGCTGTGCTCCCAGCAGCCTGCTGAGTTCCTCTCTGCCGCGGGCAGCTGTCTTCAGTGATCTGCCTGAGTGAGTGCCCCCCCAGGCCCCCATATCCTGGCTTCAGATGTTCGCTCTTATCTTGTTTACCTCTGTGGAAGGGAAACCCCTGCGGATAAGAAGGGTGTCAGGATGTATTGGTTTCATTCCCTCTCCACACGCCTCTCTGCAGGTGCACGGAACCGGACCACCGTTCCCCTGGACCAGAAGTTTCCATGCCCCAAGGGGCAAAAATTTCTCCGTGTACAACTGTAGCCGGCCCAGCCTTGTCTTTTGCTGTTCCCTGTGGAACTGTCACTGTCTGGAGTGAGATTTGAGCTAAAAAAAAATAATAATAATAACTACAACCTAAATGTGGGGGGGGGGGCGACTGAACTTCAACTAGAAAGAGAAGCCAATGCTCTAAAAGTCACTTTTATGCTATTTTTTTTTCAAATCACAACATCACTACAAAGCCACTCGACCCTCTCTGCATAGCTATTTCTACACACCAGGAGAACCACGACAGAGAACATTTGAACCATACCCGCCAGGAAGCCCAAGCCACCAACTCTCACACAGGGCTCCCTCTAGCAGGCATGCGGGTGGTTCAAACCATCAGGCTGGAAGAGGGATCTAAGATAACAGACAACTGTTTCTAAACATTATATACCAGAGGGGGGTTGTTAAGTGTCTAAGATGAAAATGAGCTGTGGGGGGAGGGCGCGGAGGGGGGGATGTAGATCAGTTTACTTGATTGACCCCGTCTAGGATGAGCAAAGCAATTTTTAAGGCAGTGTGGTGTAAGGCAAACCTCCCTCATCACCAAGGAAAGAGATTCTGCTCATGTCACATCTGTTCTCGGAAAAGTTTAAGCTCCCATCCTCACAGCTAATTAATTGCCGAGGCGGTAAATTAGAAACCAAACACTATAGTACTAGAATACTATAGTAGCCGCAACCGGCCTTCCATATTTAGGGGAGAGAGGGGGAGGGAGGGAGGGAGGGAGAGAGAGAGAGAGAGAGAGAGAGAGAGAGAGAGAGAGAGAGAGAGAGAGAGAGAGAGAGAGTTACATAGGCACACTAGGCACTGGCTTGACAATCCCTTTGACAGATTGTGTGAAAGGCTCGATTGTCCTCTGCAGAGCACGCTGGTGGTTCGTGCAGCTTGCTTAAGGAGTTATATGCCTGTATTGTACTGAAAAAAAATTCCTAAGGCAAGCACAGCCTACTCGTAGATGGCTAACAACACGACCGCTGTTCACATTCCTCCCCGCCAGAGCACTTGACTTTGTCCAAACTGCTGTGAATTTAACTGATGTTAAAACATCAGCTTTTCTGTCTGTTGGCCTCACAGCTGCGATTCTTTGACTTCGCTTGAGGCAACACCCCCACCCCCTCCCCCCCCACCCCATGAAAACAAGCAAGGGGCAGAGAACACACTCCACTCTTAAAGCTCTCCTGGGAACCTGCCTTGTTTTCTCACTGATATAAACAGACAAAGCACAATAGGGCTTAGTTCTGCAAAGTCCTGTCTTCCCAGCTCCCGGGTTGATATCAAAACATCCCTGCCTGAGTTTATTTCTGAAAAACAAAAAAAGTTGCGGCCCAGGTGTGACAAAAAACTTAAACGATACCAAAGTGTTTTACGCAGAGTTGCCTCCTGGAAACCTGTTCACCCTTGAACATTTCTTTCCTCACCGGCAAGAATGCAAGCGGACTTTAGGTCAGCCTACAAGGAGGAGAGCTAGAGGGCTTGCACCAGAGACAGACGGAGCAGTCAGAAAGTCAGAGAGGGACAGAGTCACCAGACTCATCTAAGCAGCACAGTCAAGCCCTGAGTGTGGGTCGGCCCGGGGCGGGGGATTCTTACCAGCACAGAGCTCTCCGCCTCCGCGTCTCCCTGCGCGGAATCCTTGTACTGCAGGGGGGATTCGATGACCAGCTCCTTCTTGTCATTTCTAACACTAGTCCTATACTTCTCAGCCTGCATTCTCCACCCAGGACAGTGGTCGGAAAACCTGCAGCAGGGACCGCTGAGAGTCCCCCTGCTGCTTGAGGCGCGGGCACACCACTGGCCAGAGGAAGGAAAGGAAGCCAGATTCCCAGGCACGAAGGGTCAGCCTTCCCTGCTGGATGTGCAGAGCCTGAGGGGTGGGAAGGCATGACCGAGAAGGCCGGCCTCCAGGGGTGTTACTACAGCTTGGAAAATGGGAGGCTCCTGCTGCTCGCCGGCCAAAGGGAAACAAACCCCCAAACAGAACAATACACAGTGTACTGCCTCTGTGCTCAAAGACCAGCCTCATTGTGTCTGTTCCACGTGGCGTGGGCCAAATCCGTTTGACTCCAAAAAGCGCAGGGCAGAAAAGAACGCCTGTTGGGTCTCAGCGAGCCTCCTCCTTCGTAATTACTTCCACTCTTGAGGCTCGCAGCCAGGCAGCCTGGCCCCGTCTACAGCCTGCAGTTTGAGAGTGCACGCGTTTGTGGTACAGGTAAATGCCGCCAAATATGTGGGTCCCGATCAAACAGGATCGAACAAGCAAGCAGGGGGGCGGTCCTGGGAGGTGCATGGGCGAGGAACTGCTACTCCCTGAAGGACAGGCAGCAGCTGGCAAAATCTCACGCATCTACCGCTTTTTGCCGGGGAGATTATGGCACGCCATACATTAATGCTCCGCGTGTATAACAAAAGCATTTACCATGAACATTTTTCTCTGTACACACCAACGCACGTGTGTACCAGGAGGTGTGCGCCCAGTGCTGGAGGATGGAGACGATCAGAGTGGAGCGCGTAAAACAGAAAAGCCTCGTCCCTCAAGGGAAAAAAAAAGGAGGGAAACAGATGGGCAGCGAAGACAAAGGCATCATCCTACCAAGAGAGACACCCTGGAAAGCCCGGGGAAGTAGGTGAGGTCACTATCCGGCATCCTACTAGCTGCACCCTCAATGTCCTTCCAGAAGCCCGCTGCTCTCTTTATGATTTCGTCATATTACTCAGGGTGGAGTGACTTTAAAAAAAAAAGTCACCAAGCAATAAGATAGAAGAATCAGAGGGATTTGCTAAGACGGTGCACGGGGATGCCCGCGCTGACCGTGGGACTGAACAGCCTCATATTAGTGCCTCTGTTTATTTCTTTACAATCAGGAAGCATTTGAGTAACTGATACAGGTTTAGTAACAGTCAGTAAACAGTGGGCCTAAATCCCAGAGCATCCACAGGCTCCAAGTACGGAATGCCCGAAGGGGGGGGAGGACCAGAAGACACAAGCATACAATCCCCACCTCCCGCCCTCCAGGCACAGTGACTGAGGCTGGTAAGAGTATAACAGAACTCAAGTGGGGACTGAGAGGTCAAGGTCACCCGGTGCCCATCCCCCCTCCTCCCCTCGAGCACCTGCCACAGTCATTTAGACACCCCCGGCAATCCTTTTGAGTAGGGGTGCTAATTGTTCAATAAACACATTACTCAGTTCATTTAGAAATTGGTGGGTGTGGCGGCTCACACCCATAATTCCACAACTCAGGAAACCCGAGGCAGGAGGACAACTACTTCAAGGCTGGCCTAGAATAAAAGCTGAGCTCCCGTGTTAAAAAAGAAAGAAGGAGCCAGGCGGTGGTGGCGCATGCCTTTAATCCCAGCACTCGGGAGGCAGAGGCAGGCGGATCTCTGTGAGTTCGAGGCCAGGCTGGACCGACAGCCTCAAAAACAACACAGAGAAACCCTGTCTTGTAAAACCAAAAAAAAAAAAAAAAAAAAAAAGAAGGAAAGAGAGAGAGAGAGAGAGAGAGAGAGAGAGAGAGAGAGAGAGAGAGAGAGACTAGGTTTTATGATAAACTCATTTTTAAAGAGTGGGAAACACAGCTCGGAGGGTAGAAGGCTTACCTAGCATGCACAAAGACCTAGCTTCAATCCCTAACACCACACAAACCAGGAGTAGGGGTGCACGCCTGTAATCACAACACTCTGGGGGTGGAGGCTGAAGACTCACAACTTCAAGGCCATCCCCTTCCTAAAATACACATGAAGTTCAAGACCCACCTGTCCCAAAATTTAAAAAAAGTAGAATAAAGAAGGAAGGGAGGGAGGGAGGGGAAATTATTATCCAAGGCTTAGAAACTGGATAGGCTGTAGTAGGTTATCTTTCAAAATTCAGGTTTTCTAATCAATGCTGCATCCCAAAATAATATGACCTATGAGTTTGAAAAATCATTGTGAGATCACAGGAGAATTTATAAAAGCATGGGGAGGGGGCGGTTGTTCAGTTATAATCCTGTAAAACTAAAGAAGAACCAACTCAAAATTTAGAAGCGTCGTTGAGCCAAACCACAGTAGGTTTGGTCTCGATGTGAGGGTTATCAAAACATAGGTTACCCAAGATAGGCTCCACTGTCCTACCTACCATTCTCAACTCTAGACAACTTAGCCCTGCTTCTCAAACAGGCGAACTGACTCGGACTTTCAGTGCACGCAGAGGCCACGTGACCAGCAAGGGTGAGGACCCCGTGGGCGCACACTACACCGTGACATTGCGCTAAACTGATTTATTCTAACTGTGCTCAAAGTGCTAAAAAAAAAATGTCAGCCAGCAACTACTGATATCGTCAATGTTTGTGTGTGACCCTACCCAGTTTTAGCGAAGTAGAAAACCCGTCTTTGCCTGCTGGCACATGGATGGTCACTTAGCGTAAACTCCTGTTGCTATTCCCATGCTAAAAAAAAAAAAAAAAAAAAAAAAGGAGACTCCAGTCTTAAACTCAGGACAGTTCCACCAACTGCACGGTAGCAATACATTACAATAGAGCTCCAGCAGCTAAAAATAAATCCTTTAGTGGGTGGGGGAGGGGTTGGGGGTTGTACCTCTGCAGTCTGAGCTCCCTCAGGCTGTGAAGTCAAAGCGCAGAGACCAAAATGTAATGTCCATTCAAGCAAGCATGAGGACAAGAGTTTGGATCTTCGGCGCCCACGTGAAAGCCGGGTGTGGCAGTGCAAGCCAGCCGCTGGCGGGGGAACGGACAGGAGGATCTGGGAGCTAATCTGTTAACCAGTAGCGGAGTGGATGACCTCCAGGTTCAGCGAGAGATCCCAGACGGTGACCTCTGGGGCTTCACATATATGAGACACCCACCGGAGTGCATATAAGCACACACCTGCATGTACACGTACCTCTCTCTGTCTCTGTCTCCACACCACACGCACGTGCACACACACACACACACAGACACACACAAGCGCACACACATGCACACACGCACACACCCCAGTTCTCTTTTGTTGCTGACCATGACGGTTGTTTTCAGGTGTTCATGCCATCAGCCAGTCATTTTCCTAAGGAATTTCGTATGCTTCCTTTAATAATTTAGCAGTCACTTTATCTCTTATTTAATTGGCTCTGGATTTCTAGGCGGCCAGGACAGAAAGGCAAACATGATCAGTTCAGTTCCATAAGGTAAACCATGACCAGGAGAAAATATGCCAGGCTCTAAAAGAAGTGAAGTCTTGTAAAAATTTCTCAGGCAGAGGTTTATGCAAAAGGGGTTGATGCGTGCGTGCGTGTTCGATAAGGTTCTCAACTGTGTCTACAGGAGGTAACACTGCAACAGTGGTGGCCCACACCTTCAGTCTCAGCACGTGGAAGGCAGAGGCAGGCAGATCTCTGTGAGTTCAAGGCTAACCTAGTCTACAAAGTGAGTCCCAGAACAGCCAGGACTGTTCAACAGAGAAACCCTGACTCGGAGGAGGAGGAGGAGGAGGAGGAGGAGGAGGAGGAGGAGGAGGAGGAGGAGGAGGAGGAGGAGGAGGAGGAGGAGGAGGAGGAGGAGGAGGAGGAGGAGGAGGAGGAGGAGGAGGAGGAGGAGGAGGAGGAGGAGGAGGAGGAGGAGGAGGAAGAAATTCACATGGCTCCCACGCCCTATCTTGGCTTTCTATTTACACCCCAGACCACGTAAAGAAGTCACAGTCTCCTGTCCGTCCCAGGATCAGTGCCACCTTCAAATGGCCCAGCTCAAGGAAAGTTCTGGGGCTGGGATGTGACTGTCGGGTAACTCGCTATATAACCTCTCAGGATGCTTCAGACCTATAGCCACCGAGGGAGCTGAAAGGCGCCGCACTCATCCTCCCATCCTAAGACTCTGAGGAGGATGTGGCTTCTCCAAACCTCAGGACGAGGTCACATCATCTGGCCAGAGCAGCACCCACAGGAAATGCCATTTCAGAGGACAGGAAGCAGGTGGCCACGTTCTCCTTCACAATCCTCTAAAACGCGGTGGATGTCAGGCCTCTGGATTCAGACTATCACCCATGTCACCAAGTTAGTTCCTGGACCCACTGACTGGTTTAAATTCCAGTGAAGAGCACACGCGGGATTGTGCACTTGGGGTCCAACAGAAGAGCTTGACAGCCAACTGGAGTAACTTAGGGCCCAGCGAACACTGCCACAGACAACACTCAGTTCTCACAAGCTCAACACACATTCATTCCCACCTTCCGGGGACTCAAAACCACGGAAGCTTACAGGGAAACCAAGGAATTCTCCCAGGGCGCTTTCTGATTCCTAGGAAGGCTAACTTTAGGCCTCTTCCTCCCAGGAGACTGTCCACCACACTCCGGGAAGCTGCAGGCCCCTGCTCATGCTCAGCCCACTTCAGCGCCTCCTTCCCCCAGGAAGCCTACCTGATCCTCCAAGCCAAGGTGAATTCGCTCCTCCAGTGTGAACCCCTGGGGTCCACCTTGGGCTCCTGGGGAACTTTACACAGCCCGACATACAGTGCAGGACCGACGTGCACCTTAGGGAAGAATGCACTCGCAGGCAGGGCTAGTGTTGGGACACTGCTTACCTTCAATCTGACGGCGAAACGAAGTGCTTGTAAAACTATGTACGACTGGTCGTTTGTTAAAACATAGAATTGAGCCATGCACTCTTAACCTCCCACAAGTCAAAACCCAAGGAGTAAATAAGTAACAATTAAAATGCCCCTTTTTTTTTCTCTCAGCTAAGAAATGCTATTCCGCAAAACTCACTATTTTGTGAAACCGTGGTGTATTTCAAAATGCTGTAACTAGACTCTTAAAAAGTACTAATAATGGGGTTGGCGTAACAGCTCCGTGGGTTAACAGCATTTGCTACCAAGCTTGGTGGCCTGAGTTCGAAGCCCGGGACTCATAAGTATAATTTGATTTTTTTTTAGAAAGCAGAAACAATGTAGCAAGGTGGCTCACATCTAAGGCAGAGGGTCACCATGAGTTTGTGGCCAGCCTGGGCTAGAGGCCAGCCTGGGCTAAAGTAATACTGTCTCAAAAAAATGAACGAACTTGGTAGTAACAATGAGTCTATGTAAATTTCAAAACTGTACTTGCTATTGCCAATAACCAGACGGAATAAACACACATCACCTCAACCTAAAGGCTTTTAAACTTTGTTACAGCTTCTCGGCATACCAAAAGTATATTTATGCCACCAAAATGAGCTTTAAGGGCAAAATAAAAAGAAAACAAAACTCACATATGCTTGTCTGTGTCTCTAAAGTGGCCATTCCTTCTCTCTAGCCGAGGAGGTAAACAAAAATCACAAGTAGGAACCTACCAGAGCCACAAAGGGAGCAAACGGATAAACCTTTCCCACAGTGTGTTGACGTCTGTTCGGCTTGCTGGCCAAAGGAAAGAAAAGGTGTCCAGAAGTTACATGGTAGATAGAAGGTACCAGAAGCAGCCAAATGGAGACCAGACGGCACTGGAACGTAACAGGAAGCGGGACGGCCAATCGAGGAAAGGCCAGAGTTGATAGGGACAGGTACCGTGGAGGAGCAGGGCCCCTCACGGAGCCAACAACACAAGGATGAAGGCGGCCATCAGCCGGAGGCTCCCTCACATATTGCCTCCCAGAGATGTAAGGCGCTTTCCCCATCTGTCCTAGTGTTCCTCAGCAGGGGATCCAAGAAGGAACTGAGCAGGAGGTGGCCCTGTGAGCCCTCTAAAATGGCAAAGCAGTGTGTGTCTGACAGTTCTCCCGGGTGAGGCTCCCAGCTTGTCCGGTCCTCAGAGGAGTGATGCGAGGAGTTGCCCGTCACCGAGGAAACCCACACATCTCACCACGCTGACAGGTCCAGGGTCCACTGAGGTGGGGACAGCAGCAACTTCAACAGCCATTAGATGGCAATCAGGTTGTCACCACGAGTACAAGTCAGGAAGCGGGTGACAAGAGGCCTCATGGCCAGCGGCCAATCAGAGGTCAATATATAAAGCTCTGAACTAGATTGCATAATAAACCCGATCAACGCTGTTGCCTGGTAACATCTGAAGCTACTGAGAAAATGCTTACAGTATTACACGCACACACACGCATCACACGTGCAAATGCACACACACGTACACACACGCACTCATACACTCACACACGCACACATACTCACTCACATGTGCAGACACCTGCACATACACGCACACTCACACACACATACATGTACACACACGCACACTACAGAGGCGCGCGCACATTACACACACACACACACACACACACACACACTAAAAACACAAAATGTGACCACTGGTTCTCTTCAGCATGTGGAACCATTTGTATTTTTTTTTCTCTAAAGTCATCCACATTTTGCAAGTTCTCTTCAACCGCACAATCTTCTTCTTCAGGCAGAAATGAATGCATGAGATCTGGCAGGATGGCTCAGTAGGTAACAGCAGCCGCTACTAAGCCTGACAGGCTCAGGACCCACGCGGCAGGAGGAGAAACTCGAACCCTCCACAGTTGTCCTCTGACCCCCACGTTTAATGTGTGTGTGTGTGTGTGTGTGCGTTTGTATGCACATGGATGGTGTAACACACACACACAAATAACTGTGATATAGACCGCTTTAAAAGGATAGATGAACTAGATTATGGGCTTACCATAATATTAAGCAAGTCACACTATCTCAGAAATAAAAAAGAAACGCACATTTTCTCTTATATGCAGAATCTACCCAAGGACACACAGAGAGGTGGGACTGAGTCCCTGTGGGAACGGCACAGCCCGCATAAGAGAGAACAAAGGCTACACACCCAGGCAGGACTGAACTCGGGTAGTAGGAAGGCAATGAAACTAACAGGTTTTTTTCTTGGCTCTGATTCTGCCATGGATTTTCTTTGTTGTTGCTGCTGTTCTGGTGGTAAGTTAATGACATACCCAAAGTGTATATTTTAATAGGACGCTCCACAGCTCCCATCCCAAATGCCTGTCCCAACTGTATGGAGGAGGTTCACTGAGCTGGACAGACGTTCGGTGTGTGACCCTTTTTATTTATTAATGTTCTTATTATTCCTAGTAACGTCTACTTAAAAAAAATCTTTGCTCCCCAGCCCAATGCTCCTTTCTCTGTTCCTCGCCCCTCGCCGCCCTTGCCTCCTGAATCAGCTACTGAGGTAGACGACCGGGCCTGACCTGCTGGTGTCGCCAGAGCCAGCCAGGGCTTTGGACTGCAACTCCAATTGCACCGTTGTCAAGACGGGCGGAGGGGAAGCCGGGTAATCCACTTTACAGAGTTCTCCGGGAAGCTACATTAAAGGGCAGGAAGGGGCAGGCGCAGAAGCAGCCGTGGTCGGGGCTGGAATGATGGCGGAGGCTAGGAGGTGCACTGTGCAGACAGGCTCTGTCGGAGGCCATGGGACATTCCAGAAGCCTTTCGGTAAAGACAGCCCACCCTACCTGGGACATACTCCTCCTCGTTCCTTTATTTCCCCCACATCCAGCGTTCCACGTCCTACTTTCCTGTTTGTCTGAACCTGACAAACCCTCCCTCACGAAGCACCTCAGACCTTTGAGGACTTTTGCCCGCCCTGTCCACTGCTCCACCCCAGTCCTAATGCGGGGAAGAGGGGTGCTTGGAAACACAGGAAAGGGGCTCACTGGAGACTCACCGTCTCCTAGGACCGCAAATAGAACCGTTAGGCTCCGTACACCAGGAGTCTTACCAACTTACTTTGATTGTGGTAACGGTAACTCAAACAGCAATCTCGGTCATCAGTGTCGGAGATGGAAATTTACAAAGCCAAGGAAAACACAGTATGCCTGGGATTTTTTTTGTTTTGTTTCCTCCTCAGGAAACCCAGCTCCAGGTGTGGGTCACTGAAACTCAGCCTCAACCATGTTTGGAGGTGTCCGTGTGCCCGTGTCATCTATCCTTGGCTGCTTTTCAGCACACAGCGCCAACCCAGCGCTATGAACCCAGCAGACAATGCCTCACCTAAACAGAGCTTACAGGATAAAGGAGGAAGCACCCTCTTTTGGTTACGCGGCTTGTGCAAACCCCAACCTCAAAGGGGTTCACATGAGCTGGGATTTTTTTAATCTTCCCTCTATTCAACACACACACACACACACACACACACACACACACACACACACACACACACACACATACAAGTTAAAGGCCAAAGAGCGCACTCTCGGTGAGAAAAAACAGACAAAAATTCAAGCATCTAGCTCTGTCGGTGTGAGCCCCGACATTCACTGTAAGCTAAACCTCATCCTTTCCCTTCCAAACCATTCTGAAGAAAAATACAAGAATGGCTCCGCCTCAGGTTACTGGTTCGTAAAATCTCTGCTAGTACCTGTTAAGCTGACCTAAAGTATTTCCACAGGGCTCACAAGGAACAAAGCCAGCAGACCAGCATAATTTATAGATGAGAGACACAGCAACCGGTAGATTGGTCACGTAGCTCTGAATACTCCCAGGAGGCACACATGACACCGGGTAGAGGGGGCCTCTAGGCGAACCCTGGGACACCTTCTTCTGAAAGGGGGGCAAAGGGAAAGTCCACCTTGAGGAAATTATGCAAATAGGCTACGGCGCTTTCCTCAGCTCTTCTGGCTCAGACTGGCCTGTGCTTAAGACAATGAGGCATGTACAGTAATACCTGCTTCCGAACAATAACTGGGAAGTCCCCCATTAAGGCCCTGCAGGCCACATCCCTTCCTCCAGATAGCATCAACAGCAGCCGCCACAACAGCTCCCTTGTCCAGCTGCTAAGCCAGGGCCAGTGGTGTCTACCACCACCCCGCCACGCTCCACGCTTCCAGCGACTGACAAAATCGGTGAGATGGACAGGGACGAGAGAACACAGCCAGTGCTGGGGTGGCTCACGTCTGTTACCGCCGGGCGACAAACAACACCCCCTGAGAAGTCGCAGGACCCTGCCCTAGTGCCGTGGAAATGCTAAGTGAAACCGCATGGGTTTCTCCCTGGTTACAAATGACAGCACCAGAGTCGAAAATGGAAACAGGAAGCGAGGAGGATGAGCATAATAAACGAGGGTGGTCCAGGCCTCCCTTCTCGTGGGCTAGTCGAAACATGAGCCACGTTGGTGGACCTACCATCCACTTCCTAGCCCTCCTCTAAAATGGCTTCAGCAGCCTGGCGGTACTTGAGGCACACGTCCACTTAATTTCTGCCTAGGCGTGGTGGCGCATGCCGCCTCCAATCCCTCAGGCGGATCTGGGTTTGGGGCCGGCATAATCTGTCTAGCAAGTTCCAGGCCAGGCAGGGCTACAGGGTGAGGCCCTGTTTCAAAAAAGTGTTTTCTCACAGACACATGAAGTGATAAAGGCATGAATGAGTGATGGGTATGCTAATCAAATGTGTGATTTCATCATCCTACAGTATAAACGCTTATCAAAGCATCGCACTGCGCCCTATAAATATGCACAGTTGCTGCCCACTGGGATAATTTTTCTTTTTAGAAGGAGACTTGTTTTACTTTTTAATTGTGTGTATGTATGTGTTTATGTCTGCATGTACAACATATAAGTGTGAACACTGATGTGCCCTCAGAGGCTTAGATCCCCTGGAAGCTGGAGCTACCACAGCTGTGAGCCACCTGGCATCGGTGCCGGGACTCAAACCTGTGTCCTGTACAGGAGTATATAAGCTCGTTTTCGTTGTAAATTTTAGCTGCGTTTATTATTTGTGTGCAGGCACGTGCACGCCAAGGGGGATGTATGCAGGCAGAGAGGGGATCCTTGTCTGGGTTGAATCTCCTTCTGCCATGGGCCCCAGGGAATTGAACTCGACCGTCATCAAGGCTTTGGCATACAGAGCTTTTACCCGATGTGCCGCTCTGCTGTACCTAAAAGAGCTACACATGCAAGACAATGGACTTTTATCTTTTCCCCCCTCACATGAGGAAAAACAGACTTTGGAAGTGAAAGGCTGTCGAAAGGAGGGGGGGGGATCAATCTACCCGTGAAAGCCTGAGGCCACAGATAAATCCACCTCCACAGCCCTTCCACAAAGGGAGGCGGGACCTAAAGCCTTCCTCTGCCCATTCAGATGAAGTTAAATACAAAATAAATGAGGTTTCTGACGCTGCACAGAGTGGGAGGGCTCTCCAAACACACTTTTCTACTTACGGCTTGCCAAGACCTCAATGGGGATGTGGGAGCTTTTTCTTTTTTTTTAATTGCAATTGTGACAAGGACAAGCAATGGGGAAAAAATTAACCATTTACCCAGT